TTTTTCCTTTTTTTTTTTTCTTTTTCCTTGTGCAATGGAAGATTGATATAAAATAGTAGCTCAACACTGCACAAATGTCAGGAAAAAAAAAGAGGAGTACATAAATGTCAGAGGAAAAAAGGAGCAGCGCACAAATGTCACAAAAACAATCAGTACCTAGGCCACCAGCCGGGCCGCCCGGGTCACCCTTTTTCCCGGGCTGCCCGGCCGTTCAAGGCCCAGGGAAGGTCCCAGCAGTGTGACAATATATATTGTCACAGGAAAATCAGAGCGCAAATGCGAAAAAAAGAAAAAAAGAAAACCAGGGAAAATTGAATTCATTTTTTTATCTTCTTCCTTACAAGACTCCCCTGTTCAGAACCTCTTGCGTACAAGGTCGCCCACGTGGATGTAGGTTGAGCCGCGGCTGCCCTCACCCCCGTGTGTCATATCGACCCACTTGCACACAGCCAGAAGGCAAAGAGGCAAAGAAAAGAGGAAGGAAACAGCCCAAACAAAACAGAACAGGGGGCTGCAAAGCAAATCCTAAATGACAAGCCTAGATGACAAGTCCCACATGCAAACACCGCCCCCGGCAACTACAGGCCAAACGACGTGACAAGACCAGCCAGGATGTCACAAGACAAGGCATAGAAAAAGCTCCGATCCACAGTGTGACAACCAAAAAAAGGAGGAGAAGACAATCCCGGATGACGATTCCCACATACAAGCACCGCGTATCGTTTGGCCTGTGACGTGGGGGCGGTGCTTGCATGTGGGACTTGTCATCTGGGATCTGTTTTCTTGCCTCCTGTTCTGTATTATTTGGCTGTTCCCTTCCTCTTTTCTTTGCCTCTTTGCCTTCTGGCTGTGTGCAAGTGGGTCGATATGACACCCGGGGGAGGGGGCAGGGGCCGCTCAACCTACATCCACGTGGGCGGCCTTGTACGCAAGAGGTTCTGAACAGGGGGAGTCTTGTAAGGAAGAAGATAAAAAATGAATTCAATTTTTCCTGTTTTTCTTTTTTTCGCATTTGCCCTTTGATATTCATGTATATATATATACCTGATGAGTCGGGGAAACTCCGACGAAACAGTTTGTCACAGCCCCTCGTTTGTTGTCCTCTTCTCCCTCTTGTCCCTCTCTGCCTACGGTACACCGCGCAGCTCTGTTTGACGATATACATATAAAATCTGAAAAAAAACTATTATGCAGAAAAATAAACTGAGCAACGTTTGCCTCAGGGTCACATCTCTTTATCAAATTAAAAAAAAAAAAAAAAAAAAAAAAAATCTTTTTTTTTTTTTTTTTTGACCCGGGTGGGCAAGTGGTCCCGGGGCACTCTGGTAGCCTAGAACAGTACGCAATTGTTAGAGGGGGAGAAAAAAAAAAGTAGNTAAAAAAAAAAAAAAAAAAAAAAAAAATCTTTTCTTTTCTTTTTTTTGACCCGGGTGGGCAAGTGGTCCCGGGGCACTCTGGTAGCCTAGAACAGTACGCAATTGTTAGAGGGGGAGAAAAAAAAAAGTAGTACACAAATGTCACAAAAAGCCTGAGCAAAGTGTACAAGATAGATTGAATAAAAAAATGATGCAAGTTTCAAAAACAAAAAAAAAGAGAAAAGAAGGAAAAAGAAGGCAAATGATGTACAAGATAATTCAAATTCCTGTGGGTATGGCTGTCCCGACCGAGTTTGCGATCACGTGGCGACAGTCAATTTAGGCTCAATTTAGTACGTACTACTATGTGGTAAGAAAAATAAAAGAGAGGAGGTATTGTTGAAAATTGAAAGGTGAAACTGCTTATTTTGTTTTAGGCTCAATTTAGGATGCTTGTTTATTTCATTGCAAACAGCCGTCAGGCACAATTCGAACATGGGTCTGTATTTCAACAGTTCAGTGGTGTACCAACTGAGCTAGGCTCATTGGTCGATGCTTTTTTTTTTTTTTTTTTTTGAAGCACAAATACCTCCGCCAGTTGTGGGAAATTAGGGGAAATGGGCTCATTGGTCGAATGCATGTTTTCTTTTCTTTTTCTTTTTCTTTTTCTTTTTTGGGAAAATTTGTCTGGTGTACCTGTAATTTCCATTATTTTGTCTCGCGCCCCTCCAACGGCCCACTTACCCTGTCGTGCCCCTTGGGCTTCTGAACTTCTCCGCATGCCCCTGTCAACAAGGTGCGCAACTCTCCACGGTGCCCTTACTGGATGGCCAGTCTCATTTCACGGGTCCCTGTGCGATATGCCCTCATGAGCGGCATACATATTTCCATCATGCCCTCGTGGCAGAAATTCGGATTTGAAGCACATGGTCGCTGCCGCAAAAAATGACTGTGTGTGTGTGTGTGTGTGTGTGTGTGTGTGTGTGTGTGTGTGTGTGTGTGTGTGTGTGTTTGTGTGTGTGTGTGCGTGTGTGTGTGTGTGTGTGTGTGAGAGAGAGAGAGAGAGAGAGAGAGAGAGAGGAGAAGTGGCCGCCATGGAAACATGCACCCTACCGGTAGGGGCATATGGAAAATTTTCGTGCTGGTACTGAACGGCTATCCGGTAGGGCCATACTGCAAAGTTGGAATGGGTTCCGGTAGGGGCATAACAAAAATATTTCAGGCCCAGCCGACGTCGGGGGTTTTGGGAAATTTTAATTGTGGTCAGAGGGGCACAACAGGGTAAGTGGGTCATCGGAGGGGCATGACACAAAATAATGGAAATTACAGGGGTGCCAGACAAATTTTCCCATTTTTTTTGAAACACAAGTATCTCGGCATGTGTTGGGAAATTAGGGAAACCAACGGGGGCTTTCCCGAAGAGTTCGGAGCCGGTTCTGACGGCGGCTGCAGTTCATAAATCTCATCGCCCGCCGTGGTTTCATTTCGGCCCACCAGAGGCCCGCTATTTTCACACCCAGCAAAAGTGGTAGTGGTTTAAGGAAAGAAATGGCAATTATAATATTTATATTGCAAAAATTTCACTGATCGATGCCGGGGACCTCAGAATTCAACCCGGGGGAAAAAGAGCCACTGAGAGCATTACTCAGCTTTGCTTGAGGTGTCCGCTCAACCCCCTTTGCCATCCTTGTAAATTCATTCTCTGGCCCCTTTTCCACCCTTCTCAATTCATTCTACCCCCATTTCCATCCTTCTCAATTCAGTCTCTACTGCCAGACCTACTACGATGCTGCCTCCCCTGCTGTGACCTACTATAAAGCTGTACAACTCTTTGCTTTTCTTCTCTTCTTCTTCTTCTTCTTCTTCTTCTTCTTCTTCTTCTTCTTTTTTTTTTTTTTTGTTTGTTTGTTTTTTTGTTTGTTTGTTTGTTTGCTGCTGGTTTCTTTGCTGTCCATATTTGGACTGGTGACAGGTCTGGCTTAAAAGCTGTGGGACTTTTCTTATAATGACCCTGAAAAAACCCTCCTGAAAATTTAGGGCTCGATAATGACCCTGGAAAAACCCTCCTGAAAATTTAGGGCTCTATAATGACCCTGAAAAAAACCCTACCCTGAAAATTTAGGGCTCTATAATGACCCTGAAAAAACCCTACCCTGAAAATTTAGGGCTCTGTTAACCGCTTCTCTACCATATTTGGCCCAACTTTAGGTCAAGTTGCAGCAAAA